AACCCACGGGGAAGGAGTAAAGATCCTACTCCCCAACTCCTCTGACCTCCACATAGATACTGTGACATACATGTACGCACACACACATACAAAATAAATAAAAATTCAAAAAGGTTTTTAGATCTAGGGGCATTTAGAATTTTAAATTTTAGATTAGGAATGTTCTCTCTCTCTCTCTCTCTCTCTCTCTCTCTCTCTCTCTCACACACACACACACACACACACACACATTCATGTGTGTATCATGTGTGTACTGATGCATGTCCCTGTGAGCACACCATGCTTACAGAGCACTTTCCCTGTAAGTAGCACATACACTTTCTGAAAGCAGTGCAGAGCTTCTCTTTGCAAGAGGCCCGTTGGTTAAATGCAAAGGTCATGTGACAGTCTAGGAGTCTTGATCAGGTTCATTTTCTCCAACAATTGAAGGGTTAAAAGGCAGGGAGAATCTCAGACACAGCACAACTTATTAAAGTTAAGGGGTGAGGGAGAGGCCCACAGCAAAAAAGACTTCCCACAAAGTGGGAAGGGGCGGGGGGGGGGGGGATCCAGAAACCAGAATCTGTTTTCTCCGTGGAAGGGTGGGGGTTTTAAGTGTTTTTGGTGGTCTGGGATGGGCCCACCTCATCTCATTTCAGCTTGATCAACTTAAACAAGAAAGGGGGCTGTTAGGCCATTGCTTTATGTTCAGGACCAGCCTTAGAATATATCTCAGCCTGGCCCGATCAGCTAGGAAGGCGACCCTGTTGGCAGGAGAACAGGCCTGCCAAGCCTTTGTCTCAGGTCGGAAGAAGCCAGAAGCTTGCCATCTTTATTATTCATCTGTGGCCCCTTTCCCTCTGTCTGCCTGCCAGGGATCTGTCTAGATCCTGGTCCCTCAGTCAGACTACGTCAGGTTCACGCCTGTGATTTATTAGCTCTGTGATTTTTGGTGAGTTAAATAACATCTTTGGGACTTGGTTCTTTGAGGATTAAGTACATTAATCTGAGTGAGAGCCGAGTGCCATGCAGGAGAAATCCTCTACGGGCCCTACTTCGATGGCTTTCTAGGCTGCTGTGGCTACCAGTGAGGCAGAATCCACGGCACGATCTAAGTGCTTTCAGAGGAGAAAGGGAGAGAGATCGCTTTGCTGGGAGGGTTTCTGGATGCAGACGGGATAAAGTAGCACGTGGGTTAGACTTGGAAGCTGCATAAGTTACTAGAAGGTGAGGAGAGGAACAGGCTGGGCCATTTCCACAGTCTGGGAAGAAGGCTTGAGGGACACAGGAGACGAGGCAGGAAAGACAGGCCAGGACCTGACAGAGAAGGGTCCTGGAGGACTCCTCCGAAGAGTTGTAGCTCTACACAACTGTAGCATGGCCAATTAAGTCACAGGTAATTACCTGCTCAGCTAAAAACATGAGCAAATTCTTGGCACAGGTCACTCAGGAGAGTGGGAGGGAGGTGGAATCCTCCACCTGTGAAGTATCGGGTAAAGGAGTGGCCAGACACTAAACACCAGTCTGGATGAAGTACTTCTTTGGGCCTGGCAATTCATGCCCAGGTTTTCCCAGTAATTGAAGTGGCGCCTCCTTTATCTCGCAAGAGAATTGTTTCGCCCTGCCTTCAACTAGAGCTTTGGAGTCTGTGCTATTTAGTGCATTAAAGTGTGCCCATTAAATAGGTAAGTTATGCCACCGCCAGCAGCCTGGAACACACACGGAGACCAAATGGGCTTTTTGTAAAGGAAACAGCAGACTCCGTGTCTTGCACACAGTGTGTTGAAGTTGGAATGCACGCTACAGTCAGCCTTCTGGGATTTAGGTGCTGCCCATGTAGAAATTGGCAGGGGGTGGGTGGGTGGGGGGGTAAGAGGTTTCAAAAGGGCATCTGGGGCAGGAGACCAAGCTATGGATGAAAGGAATGGGGACGGATGCACAGCAGCTCACAAGCTGACACCATCCCTACCCCTAGAACTAAGTTGGGATGAAGCAATGCACACCTGCATAGGCCTCTGACTGTCTAGGGCGAGATGCAGAGGATGCCGCCCACCTGGGAAGACATCGATCCTTTGTTTCCCGGACAACACTGGAAGTAGCTTGTTTTGCAACCGATGTGCATAATGCTTCCTAGGTGGGCTGAGGTCTCTCAGATGTGGCAGGGAAGGCAGAGGAGGCCAGCCCTTGGCACCCTGACATAGACACTGAAAAAGGGAAGATTTGTCTCAAGTCACAGTGGCTTTAAAATTCTAAACACAGAGTCGGTGGGGTTTCCAACGAGGTGTTTTGAGTGGGAGGAAGCGTCACTCTTCCTTGTTCAGCTGCAGGTAGGTGGAGGGGAAATAAGAGGCTTTATTTATGGTAGAGGTGGGAGCTTTGGAAGTGGAGGGGGAACTGAAGACGCTTTCAGTAAAACATTAGGCTGAACTGGTGACAGCGGATCCCGGGGAAGCGCGGTGGGGAGCAGCCTTGCAGCGGAAGGCAAATTGGAAGCTATTTGTAGCTCCATCTCTCCATTTGTTCATTCGCTTAGCTGTTTACTCACATCTGTACTTTGTTCCTTCTTGACTTTGAGGCTTTCCCGATTGGCAAGTTTTCTGCTAATGCCAGGACAGGTAATTCTAGAACAGATATAGACAAGTCCAGTCTAACGTACATCCCAAGATCCAACCATTTCCAGTTTTTAGTGTGTTCTCAGACTTCCAAGTTAGCTCTGTAGAGACCCTAACTTTAAGTAAACTCTGAATTCATGAGACAGCATGGAAGAACACAATAATGATGCTGGGTGAAAGACCTCAGTCAAAGTGAGTGTGTGCTTTATCGCCACGAGCGTGGAAAGCCCCGGAAAATGGAAACTTATCCCTAGTAACCGGAGGTGGACTAATGGTTTCTCAGAGAAGTGTAGAGGCTAGGAGGACAAGGGACTTAAGAACGGGGCACGGAGGAGGGTTAAAAAGAAAAGGAAGGGAGGATTGGCTGGCACCAAAGTGGCGAATATCTTTGCTGTCTTGACTGGAGAAGGTGTTAGAGAGAGCTTTGCCTGTCTATAGAAAGCCTTGTATGTCACAAGGCGAGACACACACACACACACACACACACACACACACACACACACACACACATACACACACATCGAAATTTATCAAATTATATACTTCAAATACGTGTAATCAGGCCATCAACTTTATGTCCAAAAGGCCATTAAAAACCAATCTTAGCCTCTTTAAAAAATGGAGACAAGCTGGGCGGTGGTGGCACACGCCTTTAATCCCAGCACTTGGGAGGCAGAGCCAGGAGGATCTCTGTGAGTTCGAGGCCAGCCTGGGCTACCAAGTGAGCTCCAGGAAAGGCGCAAAGCTATGCAGAGAAACCCTGTCTTGAAAAAACCAACAAAACAAAACAAAACAAAACAAAAAAAAACCCGGAGACAAGACCTCATTGTGTTTCCCCAGCAACTCTAGGACTCTCAAGCTTAACAATCTCACCCTCCTTCAGACTTCCGAGTGCTGGGGTTACAGATGTGTGCCACCCTACCCAGCTCAACATTAACTTTTGGGTGTCAACCGGTCACGCCTGAGTCAAGAGATGGGAACGTGCTGGTTGGTGATGATGCAGCGTGACAGGAGGGAGTTGTTCATGGACGTGACATCCAGCGTGACTTCGGGAGACAGAGGATCAAGCTATGTGCACCATTGTGTCTGCCCTGTGGAATGCCCCCTTGCCGCCCCCCCCCCCCCGCCCCACGCCTTTTGCTGACTTCATTGTTTTCCTCCTGCCAGCTCCATAGTTTCCATGGAGACAAGGGGAAACAGTTCATAAGTCAGAAAGCAGACTCCACTGGCCTGGAACTCGTCGACTTTATGGCCTGTTTCCATCTCTGTTGCTATCCACACTCCTACCCCATCTACTGCTGAGAGGGGAAACGGGCCAAGACCCTAGACCCCTAAGGTGGGCTTCACTTTTTCGCTCTGCTATTCATACTGGGAGAAATGGAGAAAACAGCTAATCTCAAAGGCAATTAATCTAAATGTAATAGAGCAGGGTAGAAATATACAGGCATAGGCATGTTATATTCCGTGACCGTTCACTTACTCCCTCAAATAATTAGTGAGCAGAAAAAGCAAAGTAAGTCGGGCTGATAATCAGCTATGGAGACTGTCTCTTTTAGCACTTATTGTTAGAGGGTAGAAACATTAAAACTCAGATGACGACATTGTAAGCTCTCTATTTACAGCAGGCTCTGAAAGGACAGAGAAGGTACCCCAGATGCTGGGCGGGACTGAGGGAAAGTTCCTGGTGCAAGATTCTGAGAAAACACTTGAGTCTCACTTTATTGATATAAGAAAGACAACCTCTTCCGGGGAAGGCTTTGGAGCACTCAATATTACAGAATCAAGTCACGTAGTCGAGCGGACCCCAGAGGACTGTGAGATAGCAACAGAGTCCACCTGGGAGGACAGTGCCCCAGTAGGTGGGATGACACTGCTGTGGCACTCTTGGGCAGGGCTGTGGAGCACCCTCTGGGTATGGTGACAGGGAGTACAAACAGCCCAGAGCAAGGGCTGAGGACCCAGCGACCAGGAAATGGACCCAGGGAGTCCCAGGCACGTTCTCTACTCACAAGTGAAATTGTGAAAAGGGAAACAGGAGGTTAGGTCAAGAGATGAACTGATGAGACCACAGTCTCAGAAGGGCCAAATCGTAACTTCTGGTTGTTAGATTTGTGATGGATCGGAACGTGAGCCGAGCAGGCCAGAGAGATGACTCAGCGGTTAAGAACAGTAGCTGCTCTTGCCCAGGCCCAGGTTCGGTTCCCAGCACTAACGCTCCAGCTCCAGGGGATCTGATACCCTTGTCAGGCCTCAGGGGGAAGTGCACACATGTGGCACTCTCATATACATACACACAAAATAAATAATATTTTTTAGAAGAGTGATTTACAGAAAGCCACGACTAATCAAAATGCAGTTTGGAGCTGAGTCCTAAAGGATACCTCGATAATATAACTCCCACACCTGTGGCTCCGGGATCATTGCAGAAGTCACCATCATGACCATCTGAACATGAGCTGATGAACAAGGACAACGACACTAGAGATACTAATGTGGAAGGTGGAAAGTCCAGGAGACCTCAACTCGACACAGAGAACTACAGGCAACTAAGGAATGCTAAGATGGGAAGAAGTAGTCTTCCCCAGGTAAAAGTGCACCATTTGGTGATTTAATACCAAGTAGTCAGCCCTGAAAACATACATACATACATAGAAACATTTTACAGACTGAACAGGTTATACTTATGTTTGTAGGAGTACACATACACACACACACACACACACACACACACACACACACACAAACACACAGAACAACAATGAATGAAAAAAGAGGCAATGAATTTGAAAGAGCAAGGAAGCATATACAGGAAGGTTTGGAAGGAGGAAAGGAAAGGGGAAATGATGTGATTATATTATAATCTCTAAAAAAGGAATGATAAAAAGGAGAATGACTTGTCTCCTAAAAGCCCACCTCCCCCCACCCCTGAAGGTGGGGTAGGGAGCTGGGGAGATGGCTCAGTGGTTAAGAGCACTTGTTACGCCTGCAGGGGGCTGAGGGTTGGTTCCCAGCACCCACATAGCGTTTCCCAACCATCTGTAACTCCAGTTCCAGGGGATCTGCCCTTTTCTGACCTCCTGGAGCACCAGGCACAGACATGGGACCTATACAAACATGCATCCCAGACACTCATACACATACTAAATTAATCTAAAAAATTAAAACAATCCCCACCAAACAAACAAGCAAACAAGCAAAAACCTAGAGCGGAGGAAATGTATTCACCAGGGGCCATCTTGGAAGTGTAAGTACAATTTATGGGAATAGTTACCCCGTGGACTGAGCAAGACCATGTTGGTCTGGGCATACTGTGGAAGTGACAGCATTCTGCCTCCTCCTGGTGGCCCAGGAAGTTGTTCTGGCTGCCCCAAGTGGGGCAACACTTGCCCATCTTACACCCACTGCTCTTTATGTTATCAGAATGGTCACTTTCTGGCTAATGAAAAACATCTATCTGGTCCAAACATGACCTTGAAGTTTATCTGAATCGTCTGTTGCTCATCAGAGCAACATATATCAGAAGTGAACTATATGCCAAAAGACACTTCGAATGTACCATTTATCTTTCCTGTAATTGATTCTCATGTAGTACAAATACCCTGCGGGGATTCACAGAGGGCTTAACACACTCTGCCATTATGATGACATCATCTCGTATAAAGCAGCCCCTCTGGATGCTCGGCAGATGACAGGGTGTCTCTTTTGGCTTTAAGTGCTGCACACAGCGCCCCATTAACTATGGATTACAAGGAGGGACTCTTCCCATCACGCCTTCCCCCCTTCATTTTCTCCCAGCGCTATCAAGTGAGTCCCACGCTCCAATCAAAATGAAATTATTTCAAAATCCATACCCAATTGATTCCTCTTGCCAGAAGAAAGTATGTAACAATACATATCCATCGACTTTCAGTTTGGGCTTGTGCTGAGATTTATTGTCCCTGGGCAAATATTGAGCTGGGTGAAGTTTCGGTCAGTTGTGACCCTCTCAGTCGATAAATCTAAGTGTTGACTTTGGGAGGAGTCAGTGGCCATGGCTTCGTGGCTCTGGATCAAGTATTTGTGTAAAGTGATGTTTTTAAAGGATGGAAAGGGGAGCGGAGCCACAAAGCCTAGTTCAAGAATTGTCTAGGGCTCATAGGTTTCAAAGAAAGTCCTTACATATGTAGAATAAAAGCTACTGTATTGCAAAGGATGCTTCTGAAAGGCATGAAGGTAGACACCACCTTTCTCTGAGGAATAGCCGGGAAGAAAAGGTCTCTATCGATTAAAAACCATTACATGCAGTTATACATCATGATTGTATTAATTACATAATCATTGCAAATGGTCCTCCAGGATGTCATCCTTTGACCCCAGGGCTACTCGATGCAAGGCATTTTAGCAATAATTGGTAGCTCCTCTGGATCTATCAAACAAAGGGGGACGGTAACCCAACCTGCTGCCAAGATAATGTCTTAACGTGGTCAGGGGGGGGTCACAAAGACACTATCAAGATGATACCTGACACTATCAAGATGATACCTGATGGGTATCATGGATTCACCGCAAACAAAATGATCACTCAGCCATGTGTATGCGTTCTTTGAAACTTAGGCATCCTGTTTGGCCTTTACATTTTAAAACTACAAGGAGAAGAGCTGCTGTGTACCAGTTTCCTCCAAACTGAAACATTCCAATTCTGGGAGACCTCCTTAAAAAAAGAAGGTAAACAACTCACATTGTTTCAGGAAGTCCTTGAAACTGACCGGATTCACTAGCATGCCACCCCCAGCACCCCCAAGAATAAACCACAAGGACTGTGGAGAGTCACATCCCACACAAGATGCACAGAAGCAGAGACCCTTTCAACCAAGCAGCTGGAAAAGAAGCAGACAGCAGCTGAGCAGTCGGGAAGAGGGGTAGATCAACTGAGCCACCCTGAAGGATGCTCTCCAGCCTGGTAATCTGTCCACAGGCTGTGCCGTGAGCTCCAGATGTTCAGATTCTGTGAGCTGTCACCCATGCTGGGGTAGGCTTTGGTGATGCAGCTGTCCCTGAGTCATTTCTGCTCCTATAAGTAACCCTTCACCCATACTCTTGTACCCAACCCCAATAAAACCCATTGCTTCACTGAGGTGGACTTTGGTGGTATCTGTGCTTTGCCAAGTCGTGTGTGTTAATTCTCTTCAGGAAAAAAAAAATCTGTCACACAACAGAGCAGAAGAGAACCATCAAAATGTGCAGAGATGCTTAGCAAGGCCAATATGTGGTCTATGTTAGTTATGATAGGACAGGTCCCAGAGCAGCACCAAATAAATCTCCATATTTTCACGGTATAGTTTCATTCCTCTTTTCACGACTTAGCCTAGTGACTCCAGTGGTGTGCTGGCTAGTTTTATGTCGACTTGGCACAAGCTAGAGTTAATTTAGAGTGATGGAACCTCTGTTGAGAAAATGCCTCCATCAGATCTGGCTGGATGGCACTTTTCTTCGTTGATAGGGGAGGACCCAACCCATTGTAGGTACCTGGACTGGTGGTCCTGGGTTCCATAAGAAAGCAGGCTGAGCAAGCCATGGGGAGCAAGCCAGTAAGCAGCACCCCTCCATGGCCTTTGTATCAGCTCCTGCTTCCAGGATCCTTTCTTGTTTCTTGATGATGAACAGTAATATAGACGTGTAAGCCAAATAAACTCCTTCCTCCTCAAGTTGTTTTGGTCATGGTGTTTCGTCACAACTCTCCTAAGACAAGCTTTCCTTGTTGGAGTCCTCTATCCAACAACTCGGGTCAAATAAATCCTCCTGCCTTTTATTTCTAGATCCAATATAAAGCTGGCCACTAAAGGGGAAGAACTAGAGGATCCCATGAGAGGTTTCTAAGGGTCGGGCCTGAAAGTAATTGTGATCATGGCTGTCCATGTTCCACTGGGCAGAGCTTAGGGTGGCGGTATCCCTTCCCCATCTAAACTGGGAACAAGATGGGTTAAGCTGCCTGTGATCTGCAGTCTTCCCGTATACCCAAGAAGATGTGAAAGCATGTCTTGCACCAGCCACGATATATTGGGTTATTTATTTTGCAAGTTGGGACTTGAACCTAGGGCTTCATGCATACTAGGCAAACATTTGACCTCCCAAGTCCTGCCACAGTCTTTTCAAAGGGAAACCTCGGATGGGCAGGTCTGGTAGATGATGCTGGGATATTCTATCCTCACACCCTTGACCCACCCCTGGGTTCACCTGCAGCTCCAAAGGTCATTTTTGTGAAGGTGACAGCTTCCTATCACAGCTCTCTGCCTCTTTGTCTGAGACCCTGTCAGTTAGACTTCAGGGCAGACCACAGAAAATTCTCGACCCATGAGTTTAGCAATTAGTGGCTATAGACCCCCAGCTTCCCTAGCTCTTCTGGGGACAGTTCTGAGGTATATTCTGTATTGTTCTTTAGTAGAACCAACCTCAACACCCTAAGAGGTAGCTCACTCACCAACCTACCCTTGGTTGTCTTTCTCTCCTCTATCTTTCTCTCCCATTCTGTCACTTCTCCTTCCTGGGGACACCCCTCTCCAACACTTGTTTACTTCTGAGTTCTCATCTGGGAGCTGCTCACGCGAGAATTCAAACTAGGACCTAATGGAAAGCGCTGAAGAACCAGCTCAAGAGTCATCCTGTAAGGGGGGTGGGTAAGTGGATTCACTTCTCTGCGTTTGCTTTCCAATTGTCGTGAGGGGAAACATTATTCAGGGAGGGGGCACCAGTAAGGCGACTGGGCTGGGAGTGGTCAGCAGTGTCAATAGGGATGACCTGGACCAAAACAGACATAATGTGATATGACATGATGGACGTCGTTTTAGGCCAATGGGGTATGAGAGGCCGGGTCTCGTGAGCTCTGTAAGTGCTGCTGACGTCTGAACAGTTCAATAGATTTGCCCAAATGCCAGCCGTTTGATTTAGATGGCTGCAACAAACGACTTGAGTGGGTAATGTATGAACAACGGAATCCACAGCTCACGGTTTTGGAATCTGGGAAGTCTGAGATTAAAGCGCCCGCAGATGTAGTGTCTGGTGAGGACACTGTAGAGGAGCCGTGTACTCACGCGGCATTAAGTGGGAGGAGTCTCTCTGCGGAAGGAGTTAAGGGAAGGAGTTCCACTCATGAAAGTTTGAACTCTCGTGACCTCCGTGCCTCTCAAAGGCCCTGCCTTCCAATACCATCACCTTTGAAGTCAGGTTTCAACATACGGACATTGAGGGGACCGCAGCATTCAGACCAGGGCACAAACATTCTGTTTAAAACTCAGCATTCAGTCGGGCAGTGGTGGCCGATGCCTTTAATCCCAGCACTCGGAAGGCAGAGCCAGGTGGATCTCTGTGAGTTCGGGGCCAGCCTGGTCTACAGAGCAAGATCCAGGACAGGCACCAAAACTACACAGAGAAACCTTGTCTCGAAAAACCAAAACCAAAACCTCAGCATTTGTGGATGCCATAAGCCCAGTCAAAACCCCATGGCTGAAGAGGTCTCGGGTCCTACCAGGGAACTTTCTACTCTTGTTCATCATCTCAGTTGACAAGGTACCCAACTGCCTTATAAGAGTTTACATTTATACTCATGGACAAGTGTTAGTCTGAGTCTTAATCGGAGAAACTTACGTAATGAATAGTGATGAACACGGACTCATCCCTGGCAGAGGGTTGAGAATAAACCTTGACTGAGTGATCAGCCCTAGTCAGTACCTGTCTTCCCTCCCCCACCATCTCCCCTACCCCCCCCCACCCCCCCCACCCTCGCCCAGGCTCATTGGACATAGAAGAGAGGACAGAAAGAATGTAAGATTTGGAAGACAGAGAAGGGCTGAGAAATGCCATCTTCTGGGCGTGATATAGCCATCACAATCACAGTCATACAGTAGCTGTGGCTGCCTGAGCCGGGCCTAGAAAGGCTGGGCCTGGTAACACTCAGCCATGGATCAAGGCTCTCTCAGGGCCCCACTCTTCCTTACCCAACCATTGGTTACTGATGGATTGGGGGAGGGCAGTCACTGTTTTTAACTCTTGTACCTATGGATAATCCCATCAGGCTCCAATGCATCGTTTCAAACCCGGGGTCTTACAGACGGCTGGAGTTAAACCTGAGCGGGCTGCAGGACAAAGTGAGTGTGGGAAGGGATTGTGTGGAGGAGCAGAGTGGACCGGGATGCGAGAGAGATAAGAGAGTAGAGAGGTAAGGGTAATAAGAATGCATTATATGTGTGTATGGCTTTGTCAAAGAACACACACTTCATGTAAATTGTTTAAAAGTTTTCTCTGTATAAGATAGAGATAGCACCTAGACTCCTTAATGTGGCATGCAAAGTCCTTCATGATCCCATTTCTGCTGTGCCTTTCTCTCCAGGCATCCAATTTTTCTCTCCAGGCATCCAGGTTTGCCACCTCCTTGGTACCCACGCATCCCCAGAAGACCCTCCTCCTCTTTCATAAGGATGCTTGGGCTAATTTTGGTTTTGTTTGTGTTGAGAGGTTCTTTCCATGTTTCTTAGATTGGCTTCAAACTCCTGATCCTCAAGTCTTCACTTCCCATATGCTGGGACTCTAGTCTGCTACTACCATGCCCAGATTAAAAAAAAAAACAATGTCTTCAAGAATCAACTTGCTGGGTGTAAGGGGAACATGCTTGCAATCCCAGCACTTGGGAGGCCAAGTCAGGAGAGTGAGTCTGCAGCTATCTGGGGCTACACAGGGGGACTCTGGTCTCCTGGTCACCCCTCCAAAATGATAGACTCAATCTGTTGTCTTCTTAGAAGTTTCTCCTTCTACTGCAAGATTTTCATTATTGACTCACTCATTGTGTAGTTTTAGCTGGTTAATTAATTTTTTGCAGGGCTGGGATGTGAGCTGAAGGTCCTGCATATACTACGTGAGTATTCTATCAATCCTCCTAGCTACCTGTCAGATGTTTCAACTATCCCTATGTGTGGTTGCACTGTTCCACAGACTGGGGAAGGAGTGGGGGAAAAAAACCAAACAAATGGGGGGGGGAGGGAGAGAGAGATCCCTGCTGCTGTGAGTTTTGCATTAGGCGTGAGAAGCAGGACTGAGCATCTGTGTCTGCTCTGGCGTCACGAACCCCACAGACAACGGCTGCGTGTTTTCGTCTATTTCTTTCCAGCATCTAACAGGGCCCAGCTGTTTAACAAATATGTTCTTAGGATGGGAGACGATCACAGAAGATCCAGGAAGGGGGTGACAGTGCACTTACAGGAAGGTGTGCGCCTCCTGTCGTGACTTCCTTCAAGTTGGCCTCCATAATTTCTATTTTTTTGTTTACTGACTTCTCGCGAAAAGCTGTGGAGCTACTTTATGAATAAGTGTTTCTTTTGAAAAGGAAAAAGTATGACTTTACACAATGCTGTGGACGTACTTAACGATGCTGAACTGTCCATTTTGAACTGACCGGGATGATCAATTTTTATATTTTGGGTGCTTTGTTGCAATAACAGAAAAAGGAAGCCAGCCTCTTCATTTCATTTGAGAGAGAAGCAGGCACTAGCCGACACCGCTCTGGGTGTGGCAATTCAAAGACAGATCACATGTGGTCCTATCCTCTAGGGGCCTAGTGTTTCCAGCAGGGGACAGAACATGAGTCACAGGGCGAGGAAGAACTGTCACTTGTGCCCGAGGAGAGCTTGGCCCACACTACCTTGGTCCCTAGAAACAGTCACCGTGTTTAAATACACGGAGCACTTGGAGCATTGTAGAGGCTAGCCTCTTTACAGGGCCGTCTTCGTGTTTAAAAACAAATGATGGGAACACGAAGGAGCATTTGTGAGAACAGGATTCCAAGGTGTCAGCTCAATGGCGGGCTGAGGAGCCCAGCCAAGCCAGTGCTCACATGGGACAGCCACTTGATTTTATGCATGTCTTGAAGCAATCAATCAAATGCCGCCCTTGCCGGCATGGGTACGTCACACCGGCCTGACCCTTTAGAGACGGAGCAGATAACGTTTAGGAGAATTGTCACGCTGAGGGCAGGCTCAGAGACAAGAGGTGCGGAGATGCACAGACTTGACACAAGGCGAAGGGAAGGTGGGATGGCATCTCAGGAGCTGCATGGCACTGCTCTCAGCTCAGATGGCAACTGGGACC